TTAAGTGATTCAACGAATGGGGTAAATTCAGGAAAATACTTAGCCAATTCTGTTAGTTTTTTTGTTGCTGCATTAGCTGATGCATTTCGCCACTGTTGTCTTTCTTCGGTTTTACATTTTTCTATACGATTTAGTAAACCACTTTCCGGGTACTTTGTAGCAAAAATAGTAAAGATACAGGGCAGCGTTTTGGCTTCTACTTTTAAACTCATTGGTTATAATCTATAAAATTATATAATTTTAAGCTTTAATTTAAGGAAAACTGATTTATTAAGGCTTTGGGATCCTCACGGATTCTGAAAGTACGTGTTGGAAAATATGTATTTCGATAGTTAGACTTGCGGTACCGGATCGACGAAAGGTCACGACTTTTTTTTAAAAAAAGATTACTAAGCGCCAATCACAATTATTAAGCGCAAATCACATGCTTATGCATAATTATAGACTATTCTAGAAATGATCTTCGAATTTTAAAAAATCTCTGACTGCAATATGTGGTCCAAGCTAGGAATGGCAATGGTCACGAACGGTTATGATCGGTCATAACCAAATTGTTAAATTTTGAAATGATTTTTTCTCTATAAGCTATTAATAAAGTTGTTAGAAAGTAAATTCTGGTTATATTTACTTATTAGATAAAATCAAAATACCTTTTCCAGAATTCAAAATCTTAAAATTCATCATTGGTCATGGATTGGTTAGACCGACACGTGACCGATGATGAATTTTTAAGATTTTGAATTCTAGAGAAGATATTTTGATTTTATTCCATAAGTAAATATGATCAGAATTTACTTCTTAAAAACTTTAATTAATAACTTATGGAGAAAAAATCATTTCAAAATTTAGCAATTTGGTTATGACCGATCGTAACCATTCGTGACTGTTGGCATCCCTAATCCAAGCACCAAATATGGAATACATATGCATATAAAATAGATAATAAATGAATTATCGAAAAATATAGTATTAACGTATATAATACATATGCGCATAACAAACTATTCAAAATTTTTAATATTAAATAGCAACTTACAATACATATATATCGTTTGACTACGTTTATAACATCCTTACAAATAATACCACTATCATTATAACCCAGATGCAAACTGCAAGAGCTCTATTAATTATATGCAGCTTTTTCAAAAACCTAGATTGCTTTTTATAAATGCAAGTGTGCATACACTTAATAATTTTTATTTCACAATATAAACTCCCTGCAATATAATATATCGGGTACTAATTAATTTAAAAAAAATGAGTTTTGAATAAGATTCCGGATGCTATAAGCAAAGCTAAACAGTAATTTTATACTTTCATAAAAATGTGAATTTTCATTTATCCGATTCAAAGCCTTAGGTTTGAATTCTGGTCTTATTACTAAAATTCTTGCCCGGTTAATACAATATATATAAAGGTTTTCAAAAACTTAATTTAACAATTCATGAGTTTTATTGTATTATCTGCATATTGGAATATTAACCAATATACTATATTTTTTTTGGTAATTTTTCAGTTTATAATTGCTATCTATAAAATTATATAAGATACTTGTTCAATAAAACAAATTGCTTTATGAATTTTTATATGTAATACTGCCAAATTGCTGAAAATATATGAACTAAATCCTCTTTAACCTTTTCTTAATTTTTCAAAAGAATTTATTTAATTATAAATTTATAAGACTTAAGTTGAATTCTTTTATGATATTATCAATCACTTTATTTGTGCTTGTTCAATGTTGAATTATTAATTCAAGATATTATTTGATACATTTTTGCTCAAATTATGTTTAGTTTTATTTATTTTTTGCACTTTACGCCTAGGAATTTCTTGAGATTCATTCTTTTTGTTTGCACTAATTCTTCGATTAACATTTGCTTTTCTTCATTTCACAGATTCAAGTTGAACTCGAATCGTAGTCCTATTTTTACTGAGTGCTGGAGAATCCAGATTATGATTATAAAGAAGGTTTGTTACTTGTCTAATTGATTGTGATTTCACAGTTTTGTATCGTTTAGCAAACTTATCAAATGCTATTCGTAGTTGTAAGCCACAAGCTTTATAATCATTCTCAATTTCTTTTAAAAAGTCATTGAAATATAAATTATTAAAATCTACTTCTTGATCTTCTAATTCGCTAAAATAGTTGATAATATTATTGAAAGTTAATATAAATTTTGCACAAGTTTTATTTTCTATCTGCAATAAGGTAAATATACCTAAAAATATAAATGCACATATGTTATTGTATTTACAAAAGAATACAATAGCAGAAATTTAAATTATATACAAAAAACAAATCTGAATCTATTATTTGTGCCAACATTGTTTTCTGTCATTATTACAGCATTTGAATTGCCATTTTTATTGACATTTATAGTATCATGTTGATTACTTGAAGCAGGTTTTGTGTGTAATGATACATAGAAAGAACAGTCTTTTATATTGAATCCTTAAAAAAAAATTATATAATATTACATGCATGTATATACAGATACAATTCTTCTATTATAGATACAAACCACTTGCAATATATGAAAAATTCATTCGACAATTGGTGCTAATGAAGGAAAGAAATTGATCATTCAGATATGTTATTTCATTGCTACAGAACCTTGGTGTTTATATGATGCACCTGTCATCCCAATAAAACAATTGCATATCCCAATAGCACTAGTTACATTATAAACAAGCTCTGATTTTTCTTTCGTGCTTGATACTAAATATTTATTCATATTTTTTATCAGATGAATTAAATCTTTATCAATGGTTTGCCAACCAGGACACAAGAATCTCTTTGAAATTTCTATATGACCAGATGCCGATGTGCTAGTCTATATAAACAACGTTCGTAGAAGCATTTCATATTTTTTGTAATAAAGTAGAAATCTGAACTGCATTATATACTTTGGTTCTTGCAAAAATTATATCTTTAAGCAAACCAAAGCCATATTCAATATAATTATTAGTGTGATTACCACATAATAATAAGTTTAGCTGGAAACAATATGCCCAATATTGTCATTGACTCCAAAGACATTCATAATATTTTGCAAAATAACAGATACTGCTGATAATAATTATTCTTTAATTCATAGTAATAATTATTCATATCAGTTTCTGTGCGAGCATATAAAATTTTTTTCATTTAATTTATTATAATTATATGATGCTCTTTATTAATATCATGTTTTGAGTTATAAATCTAATGCTAAAACACCTGCATTATATGAAATGTACATAAAAGTAGATTAGATTGAGGCCAACAATGTTTTAAAGCATTTTACTCTGAAGCTGAATCGTCAGTTAAAATATTTTGAGGTCCAATATCATGTTCACGACCGAAAAAAGCATGTTTAGAGAGAATTAATTTTAAAAGATTAATTGCTTTTTCAATTATAATTTTGTGTTCATCAGCTGTAATAAATAGTCCTAACAGCAGTACACCTGCTATGCAGCTTGTGTACAAAAGTGTTATTGCTGTATTTAGGGGTTCAAACGAAGAAGAGACATCTATATAACAAATCTTACCAGCTTCATGAATTTTCTCATATACTTTACTCATTAATCCTGTTACAATATATAATATAAATACTTTTCCCATTTGCAAATCATATTCTTGAATGATTGCCTTTTCAAAACCAGATGTATTGTAATTTGAAATCTCCTTATTTAAATGCTAAAATATCATCACACCATTTTGCCTACCAAGTTGAAAATTGTGATAATGTTCAAAAAGATGAATAATATAGGTATAATCAGGATTAACTGCATGGTTAGCAAGAGTTTCAACTAAATTTTCACTTGATAAAGCTGAAAGATGTAACTCATCTTAATGAGTATACAAAGCAGAAGCAGGTGAATAACCATCATGAAACATTTGTATAAATTTATTATATATTTCCTCATTTACATATTTGAAACCAAGTGACTTAGCAGAATTTACAATATGATTGTGTTTAAAGCAAACATTAACTTCTAAGGGATAGCTATTATTCAAATGCCAACATTCTAAATACAAATGTAAGGTTGCTTTACAATCTGTATTCCTATTATGTGTTGATTCTGGATATGTTCTCTTAGGATTACCTTGTTTTTTCTAACAATTTGACTATGAATACAATGTCTTAATTCACGAAAAATAACTTGTTTGCCTTTGACTCTATATCCTTTAGTTTGCGGCATTGTTGATTTTGAGTATTCTTCAAAAGCAGCAAACTATAAATTTATATTCTACTGTTGAAATATTTACGAATATGCTAACTTTGAATTGCTGTATTTCAAAACCTTCATAGGTATAATATGGTGGCAATTTTATGATACATTGGATCATATAGGTATAATTCGAAGGGAAAATAGCCTGTAGAAAATCTGGTAATAAGTTCCAGGAAAAAATCTAAAAACATACTATTGTTATTATGTATTATATTATCAAAAAAAACTTGTATTGCATTTTAAAATTCAATTTACCTTACAAAAATTTTCACTATTTGTATAATCAACAATATTTGTAGTATCTCTAATTGCTTTGTAAGAATCAAATTTTAATTCAGTATAGTCGATCTTCATAAAATAAAAAAATAATTACAATAAGCAAATAATAACTAGTAATAAGACATAATTTTAATATATGCAATTTTAACTCACTTTGATGCCATTATCCACTTCTGTATTTTCATCTACTTCTGTACCTTCATCTACTTCCATACTTTTATTCATTCCAGTGCCAATATCTACTTCAATGTTTTTATCAACAGCTAGAGTCTTAAAAGCATTCATTTGTACTATATCATTCGTAAACGTATTGTCCATATAATACAAGAACATATTTCCCATATGAATTGTGAATGAATTTTCCATAGGATGTATAAATGTATTTTCTATAGAATACGTGAATATATTTTTCATAGGATATGTGAATAGGATACGTAAATGTATTTTCCATAGTTTATATGTGAATGTATTTTTTTCAGGATATGTAAATGTATTCTCCATACAGTTTGTGAATGTATTTCTCCTTACATAATTTGTCAAAATATTCTTATCCTTATCTATATAGTCAGTGAACATAAAGGTCATAATTTTATAAATGCAAATGTTGATTCTGCTATCTTAAAAATAATTAAATTGTACATAAGTTACTATATTAAAATTTTCCTGATTCAACAATTATATTACTTATGTACAATTAAAATCCAACTAGTTTTTTATTTTATTTCTTGGTCGCCCGACCTGCTTAACATTTCCCAACTAGTTGTACTAGTTACTTTTCCGTTATATAAGTTGTATCAAGTTATAATAACACAATATTTTATATACTTGAAATGTCAGACTTATTTTATACACCTCTTTCACTACACTTCACCTTTCTAACACCAAACTTCTCCTTTGCTACTAAACTTCCTACTATGCATACTACAATATTTGTTTTATTTAAGATAGCAAAGTAAAGGTTTGAGTTTTAGGAATGAATTTCATATTTATAGTATATATGTACTGTAAAATTACATTACTGATCTGCTAATTTGACTCTAAATTACTTACAATAGTCTGTCATTATTAAGATTTGAAACTTTATATATATTGCTTATTATTATTGTTAGTATATATGTATGATTACATTACTAATTTGTCAATTAGATTATTACAATTTGAAATATTTTGTATTTAACATTAAAGTATATATGTATATTGTGATTTGAATCAATTATCCCTTGCACAATCTACATCAGGATCTTATTCAAAACTCATTTTTTTAAAATTAATTAGTATCTAATATATTATATTGCAGGGAGTTTATATTGTAAAATGAAAATTTTTAAGTGTATACACACTTGCATTTATAAAAAGCAATCTAGGTTTTTGAAAAAGCTGCATATAATTAATAGAGCTCTTGTGGTTTACATCTGGATTATAATGATAGTGGTATTATTTGTAAGGATGTTATAAACATAGTCAAACGATATATATATTGTAAGTTGCTATTTAATATTAAAAATTTTGAATAATTTGTTATATGCATATGTATTATATATGTTAATACTATATTTTTCAATAGTTCATTTATTATCTATTTTATATACATATGTATTCTGTATTTGGTGCTTGGATAGTTACACCACATATTGAGCCACATAACTTGGCACAGAAAATAAGAGTGCTTAATATAAAAGCTTCTAGCTGTTCCACAAAATTTTTTCCACCCTTTGTAATAACGAACAATCGAATTTCAGGATTAGATGTAATATAAAAATCAGGATGAAGCAAAAAAACAAGAATAGCTCTAAATTTTAATTAGGAACTGCAAATTTTACTTGTAGGCATCACATTATCTGAGTCATAACCTTAACTTTAACGTAGTTTTCTTAACTTTAATTTTGTGTATAACTTTTTACTAACTCCTATAGATCACCCACAAAAAATTTTCCAGCACTTGACTAAGCCACTTTACTATAACATGACTAATTTCTATTAATGTTGAGGCTAACATTGACATCAACGTTCACCTCAACGTTTATGTCAATATTAACCTCAACATTGAGGTAAATGTTTACTTCAATGTTGATCTCAATGTTGACCTCAATATTGAGGTAAACGTTTAACTCAACGTTGGCCTCAACATTCACCTCAACATTGGCCTCAACATTAACTTCAACGTTGACCTCAATGTTGACCTGACCTCAATGATGATCTCAATGTTAACTTAACCTCAATGTTGATCTCAACATTGACCTCAACATTGACCTCAATGTTAACCTCAATGTTGGGGTCAATGTTGACCTCAACATTAACTTGACCTCAACATTGACCTCAATGTTGACCTCAACATTGACCTTAACATTGACTTCAATGTTGACCTCAACATTAATCTTAATGTTGACCTCAACGTTAACCTCAACATTGACCTCAACGTTGACCTCAACGTTGACTTAAATGTTGACCTCAATGTTGACCTCAACATTGACCTCAACATTGACCCCAACATTGATCTTAACATTTGCCTCAAAATTCACATTAACGTTGACCTCAATATTCATACCAACGTTCATCTCATCAAAAAAATACACTACACATTTTATATTTATTAATTTTTTTAACAATTTTATTATTATAATTACAATTGCATACAAAATTATATTATCTAATTTACAAAAAAATAGCAAAAAAAATAATGAAAGAATAAAGAAAGAATCACCAAAGAAACATTGAAAGAAACACCAAAAAAGACATCAAAAAAACACACTGAGAAAACATTAAAAAAGCACTGAGAAAATGTTGAAAAAGCACTAAAAGAATGACGAAAAAACACCTAAAGAATATCGAAAGGTGTATCCAAAGGACAACAAAAAAAACACTGAAATAATGTCGAAAAAGCACTGAAAGAACACAAAAAAAGCCCTGAAAGAAGCACCATAAGAACATTGAAAGAAGCACTGAATAAACATCGAAAAAAGCACCGTAAAAATGTCGAAAGAAGCACTGAAAGAACGTCAAAAAAGCACTGAAAGAACGTGAAAAAAAGTACCAAAAAAATGTCAAAAAAAGCTCATAAAAACATCGAAAGAAGCACCATAAGAATGTCGAAAGAAGCACCAAAAGAATGCAAAAAAATGACCAAAAAAACATCAAAAAAAGCACTGAAAGAACATCGAAAGAAGCACTGAAAAACATCAAAAAACACTGAAAGAACGTGAAAAAAGTACCAAAAAACATCAGAAGAAGAACGAAAAAAAACATCAAAAATCACGAAAAAAGCACCAAAAGAACGTTAAGAAAAGAAACAATGAAAAAAGCACCAAAAGAACGTTAAGAAAAGAAACAATAAAAAAAGCACCAAAAGAACGTTAAGAAAAGAAACAATGAAAAGACACCGAAAGAATGTTGAAAAAATGACGTAAAAAACGTGAAAAAACAACATAAAAATCATTGAAAAAACATGTAAAAAGCACCAAAAATAAATAAATAAAACATACCGAAAGAATGATATAAGAAGCACTGAAAGAATGAAATAAAGGGCACCAAAAGAACATCATAAAGGTCACCTAAAGAACACCATAAAAAGCACCAAAAGAACGTCATAAAAAGCACTAAAAAAACGAAAAAAATTTAGCTGATCATGTTTAATAGTAAATGGAAAATGCATGGTGAAAAAAATTTTGGGGTTAATTACTAGATATCTTTTTACTTAGACTATCACAGTACACCAGATCCTGAAATTCAATTGGTCATTATTACAAGGGGTGGAAAAAATTTTGTGGGACAGCTACTTAAAATCTTAACATATGGAGTAATTATGCCTGACGAATGATGAAACCTTTCGTCATGACGAATGATGAAACCATTTTGTCAGGCAACTTCGAAATGACGAATGACGTAACTCGTGATGAATGATGAAACTCCTGACGAATAACAGAATTCATTACGAATCATAAATTTTATATGAAAAGTATAAGAAAATTTAAAAACAGGATCTATTCTTTAGGAGTAGAAAGCTAGTTAATAGAAGTAAATTAATCCATGTAAATTTAATTGTTTGTAATTATTAGGATATATTTGTAGCCATGTGGCTACCGTAGCTGTAACTAAAATAACCCTTTTTTTTGTTAATTAGGGTTAGGGTGAGGTTAAGATAGTATGCGATTGAAAAGGTGTGTTTTATAGTACAATTTAGCAAGGAATTTTTTTTGTTAGAACCCAAAGATTAGTTTCATATACTCAATTTTGAGTTATAACGTTTTTTGACAATTTTTGACGAAACGAACGTTGTTTTGAATTTTCCTGATTGTGTTACGTTACACCTGATCTTTAAATTTGATTGGCTTTTATGGGATGCGGTTACAGTAGCCATGGCTACAAATATATTGCTCCTAATTATTATATCTGCCCGGTTTGTTATGTTTTTGACATATTTATACGACATTTCCCGATGATTGGCATTACTCACCCGGATGTATCCGATGGGTCTGACGAAGAAAGGACCGACGAAACTTTTTGATGAAATAACAATAAATTTGAAAATTTTAAGATTCAGAATATCCAGAGGACGTAATAAAGGAGCTTGTTGAAAGGTGGTCCACTGCATTTTATATTTTATTGGTCAAATTAATTTCGTCAAGAGTTTCGTCAACCGTCAGTAGTTACATCAATCGTCAGTCGTTACGTCATATCGTCAAGTTTCGTCCGTCAGGCATCATTAATATGGGGTTGAGTCAATAGAAATCAAGCAAATTTTTTCTAAGTAAATTTTTTTAAAACTTTAAACAACAATAACTAAACAAAAACTTAATCAAATTGAATAAAATTTTTTTTTAAATTTGATCAAGTTTTGGTTAAGTTATTAGTGTATAAAGCTTTAAAAAAATTTAATAAAAATAATTTGCTTGATTTTCTATTGACTCACCCCCATATGTTAATTAATTGTCCGAAGCGTAGCGAGGACTTACAATGGGGATGTAAATACACAAAATGTCTTGAGTTCCGCTCACGTGATATAGAGCCAATCAGAAGTTAAAATCATAAAAACAATCATACGTCACTTGATCAATCATACATATAATTATGATTAGTCACCTTTATTTTTAGAGCGCTGTATTTTTTAAAAATATCAAATAATAATTAGACAAATAAATACATAATCGCTTCGGATATGTTTACCTAGTATATTTGTCGTATGTACGTATATTCATTAAAAACAGGTGTATAACCAGCAAATCAAATTACAAATAAAAAAAAATGATACGATAATGAGTGAAATAAAATGAAATATAATTATTTACTCGTCTATCTAATTAACATACAATTACTATTACTTA